GTATGTTGGTAAACAGTGAGGTCAAGTCAGAAGACACCATCACTTCGTATATATATATATATATATATATATATATATATATATGCGTGTGTATGTGTAAGCAAGCCAAAGAACTCATTTTGGTGTGTAGGGGGGAGTTAAACTCAATGAGCCAATCGAAACCGAGACCTATTTCTCGTTACACAATACAAACATAACAGGCTTGTTTAAGCCCAACAGTCAGTTACTGTGTTTGTAGAAGTGAGCATAAGCCTGAATAACAAATTACTCTACTGTGTACACAAATGGAAAATAAAGAACTGCAAGGAACGAGAAACAAAGAAAAACATGTGTGAATTCGACAGAAATCAAGTTGGTGAAAACAGCCTGGAACAAATCCTGTGTTCAGCAATGTCACCTAGCGGAAAAATGGTAGCTGTGAAAAACAACAACAGTCGAATGGCATCAAATCACCCCACTGCCACTGGAAACCACCTTAGGTGAAGAAAGCGANAAAGCGAAACGATACTCTCTTTCTCTCTGTTCAATACCGTGGCTAGGCATGGCAGATAAGCAACAGACACTGGTAAGACAACTAGTTGATTAAATTGTCAATGTTGTGGTTTTCGACATTATCTGAATGCACGTACGGGGGAGATGATGTCAGACGAACTGGTGATGAAAACCGAAGTAAAATTCTTATCTACACAGTACTGAATTTTTATACGATTGTTGCGAGTGCTTTCTCACCTCTGGTTTCTACCCCGTAATCAATTTGATCTCCGATCTGTTTCGGAAGCTGTGAAATTCCTATGAGGACCGTAGACAGAAAGCCATTGCTATGGCAAACGATCAATGAACAAACAAACAAATTAAAGGGGAAACAAGAATGCTACTTGAATAGTAACAAGCTGAAGGGCTCTCGAGACGGAACAGACTCCGAGCTGCCATGTACTTTTATAATTCTTATTCACCCGTCCTTTAAAAGTCAGTAGAACGACCGTAAACGATGGTGACGGGAGACAGGTTATTTCCGCAAGTGTGAAATTCATGTCGTGAAGCGCACGAGTTTGTCAGAACACGCAGCGATGTGAGATATGAGCGAGAGACACGCATGATAAGTGTGTACTGGCAAAAAAATCGGATGGACGAATCTGTTATTTTTTGGTGCGACAGGAACAAATGATAATCTCCTTCCATTTATCTGCCTAGTGAAAGAATAGGCCCTGATATGACGCGGTTCGAATAGGAAGGACGACGTTTCGGACGGTGAAAAAACTACTGGAAAATGTAGTGTGGGACAAACCAGACAAATACTCACATATCTCTCGGCCAACTAACAATGCGACAGATCTTGAGTCATATGCCGCGTCCATTACATGATGGAAAATATGGACTACGAGAGTTGGCCGAACTATATAAAATGCAGAAAACATTCAGTTGCGCACCAGTGCCGAGAGTTTGATTGAGGAAACACATAAGTCCAGTTCAAATGGGATCAATTGTGTCTCCTCGGACGATCCACATGGCACAAACCTAACTAAACAAAGAGCCGGATTGCATTCGTAGATCGGAGTATCAACTCCGCAATAGTAATTTCAGGTTCGGTAGAAACATTAACCAGAGGTAGATGAAGAGAATGAGTGGATCAATATTGGGAGAAAAGAGACAGTAGTATGCAGAGTAGTTCGATTTAGAGATAAACGGTAACATATTAAAGAAACGACGGGTAGCAAAAATATGACCCTCCAGTGACATACGATTTCGAATGTTAATCAACGCTCAATCAGAAACAGAACATATCTAAGCATAAATGATCACTTAAGGGTAGCAAATTTGAAATAACTGACCATTTATTTTGTGATAGTCGTCAAGAATTGGAATCCTCGAGCTATGCATTGATTCGATCACTTGAAACAGAAAACCACTTAGTAAGATAACATACGTTATGGAGCAGTTTACTGACTAATCGAGGGCAACGATCAACCTTCGAACTCATTTGAGCTTTCGGACTATCCATCTTTAAATATACCGCCAAACGGAAGCGCCCTTCATCAATATAGTTTGGAGGCAGAACACAAAATTTCATAGAATCAATTGCTACAGCTGGTTGAAAATGTGCTTAACTCGTTCTGAGATGTCGCAAAATTTGCTGCCAGTAGATCGTGAGAGCAATTTGAGTAAAGTGTAAGACTGGACAAATTACGTAAAATGACAGCAAGCTACGACAGTGCGGAGGAAATAAACAACGCTAAACACGTGTTGCATGAAACTCACGGCGATCGGAAATGAAACATGAATCATTACACCAACCTGACTTTCGTAACAATACGGTTTCATCAAGATAAAAGGTCTAGTTGATGAGTGCTAACAAGAACGAAATGGCTGCCCGGTTCTGTTCACCGAAAATCACGCAGTAATTTCCATCGCAAATATAAGACACTAGATCGTGAAAATGATCAATTATATAACCACATTGGTTTCTACGAATTGCAGTCCGGGTGGGAATTTCTTTGTTTTGAGAGAGTGGTGGAAACCAGATTCCAAGTCTTGCTATAAAGTCTAGCTATCACTGGTCATTTAGAAATAAAATAAGGATGTGAAGATAGTACTAAAGGTGCAAATTAAAATCAGAAAACAAAACATTCTCAATGAAATCACAAGCCACCATAATTCGTTATTATTCAAAAGACGATTGATGAAAGGGATAAGGAGTACACGGATCCATCTGGGCTGCACCTTCCGTGGTCCATGTCAGATAGTGTGCTAGGATGCATCAGTTTTTACAATCGTTAACCATGCATTGTCTGGGGTATTTAAGGTTGCAGCCTTTCAGCCTTCTATTTGAATGCAGGACTAGGGGGAAGATTGGAGTGTTTGAAGCAGCGTGAATGTGAAAATAGAGAACTCGGAGAGACTAAGTTAACAAAGAAATCGAGCAGATGCACCAGCACCATTGATCGTTACAACCATCGGTTACGCCGATCCCTAGGTCCCCACTCTGAAAGCCTAACACGACCTATATGACGGAGTCTCCTGGACAGGGTTTTCGTGCACTCTTGCCAGGTTACAGCGTGACTATCCTTGATGTTTTTCCACGAAATATCTACCTCAGAAAACATGGCATGCTGCCGCACTCTATCTGGTGATATGCATAACGTACGTGCCCCGGCCAACGTAGTCTATGAAGACCGGGTATAAACCCCAGTGAGCGCCCGCCTAAATCTATGAGCCTGAACTCGGTATTGCTTTGCCAGTAGCCCTACCAGGCCCATGAAATACGGCAACAATAGTCTATCCTTATCCTGTTCCGGCAATGGACAAGTCTTTGCTTCATACAGCAGCACCCGCTGAACTGCTGCAACTGAGGAATCGGTGCATTGGTGCGGGTTTTGTCGG